TATTAACCACACATTGGAAAGCAAGATTCCATTTCCACATGCCCATCATATCTTTACTCCGGCCTTGCTTTAATATGCAGACGAGACGTTCGATGCCTCCATCGACAGTTAGAATGTCGCGGATACGAGCTGAAGACGTGGTCAAGTATGCAAGGTGGTTGAGGGAGTTGATGAGCGGCAAGGTAGATGTGCAGTCAAGTGCTCGACGGTCATACAGTGCAGTCGTGATGCCAACAGACGCCTTGTTGACGTTCGGGATGCTGAAATTGACTTCCCTCATCTTGAGCAGATGAACCCCATCCAAGGGCGAGTTGACAGGTGGTAACAGACAAAGCAACGGCTAGATGAGCGCCTGGAGGTATTTTGAGACCTGAGTAGGGTAGCCCCTCTGTCTGAGGGGCCCGGCGTGGTAACTATGGAAGCCAAATTGGTTACACGGAATTTTGAGAGGTTAAGATGTTGATTGACCACGAGGTCTCGATAGCAGAGGTTGTTAAGGCAGGTAGGATGACAGAAGCCTGAAGATGTGACCGGGGTGGCCGAGTGGCGGCTTGCTGCCGAGCACACTCTAATGGGCAACAGAGCACGGCGCAACACCACAGCCTAGATGTGTCCAAGCAGTAAAACGCTGCTGATTGAGGCTGATGTGGAGTGAATGCTAAAGAGCGAAAGTATGCCGTTGTCGTTGTCGAGAGGTAGAAGGGTGAGCGTAGGCTTGCGGTGTTTCAGGCAAAAGCTGGGTGCAACTAGGACCGAGACGCGGGAGGCGGCGGCGAAGGGAGTGTGCACAATGGACCGTCGACCGGGAGAGGAGAGCAACGCAATCAGCAGTGGCTGAGAAGACAGCTTCGTAGGGACGTTACGGTCCTGGTGACTGTTGTGCGAAATTCGGTCTCGTCGATGAAGCAGCGTGAGGAGCTGTGCCTTTCGAGCTGCCGAGAGTTCGAAGATGGCGCCGTGGCCGTGAAGCGGAAGACGGTGGTTGAAGGGGGTAAGCAGGGAACCTTGAAGGGGGGAAAACATTGAGAGGCTGGTGGAGGTTGGACATTGGGCCTAGGGGCTACTAACGGGCAAGCGATTAATGGCACCACATGTACAGACCAGTCGTGACATGGAGCATCTCGGGAGGCCAGGACCGGCCAAGGAGGGTGTGGCGGCACTCAATTCGTGCTGCTCCCTACAGCTGGGACCATCAGTGGTTCAACGGAACGAGGGACGCAACGCTGGAAAGTGGTACTGGAGGCTGCATTTTGGTTGGGCACTGGGGCCTAGTTAGTGCCTCCCTTATTTGCCAGAGGACTCAGGGCTGAGGCTGCATTTCTGTGCATGTTCCAGCGACATGTCGACGACTTTCCGCCCAAGTATCTGGGTATCTGAATACTGTACGTTTTGGTAGAAATTCAATACAATATCAATTGATAGTAATCACTACAAGATCCGTTCTTCCCAAGTCAACTTTATCATCAGGTTTCTGGCCTTCATTCTTAGCCCAAGTCTTAGCGGTCGCTGCGGACGTTGGCCTCTGCCAACGCCCGTAGCCTTGGGTAAAGTATGCGGAAATTTCGCATCCACCGTCTTCTCCAGGTGCCAACACCAGCCCGACCGCGAGCCTACAAAATGACGTGCAAGAAAAAAAAAACCAAAATTCTAAAAAAATGAACCCAAAGCACACAACCAGTTCCCTTCATTTTCTTGACAGTATAGATTTGCTAGTCTAAGTGTTGAGGAGTTGCCGCTTGAGAACATTGTCCATGGCCTAAGCAAGGTACTTAGCAATGGCTAAAACGCCCAGTGATGTCAACTGGTCTGCCAGGCCTTTGTATGTACCTAGCTGTAGGTAGTACTACTTGAGCACCAGACCAGACACATGTCTGGTAACGATGGGTGGCTCCAGCGCCCGAATCACAGTGCCAAGGGACAAAGCACCGTGTGTGGCCAGATGAGGATGGCCGTCAAATTTCCAGTCGCCCCTAGCTTGGCCTCTGCATGCAGCAGACAGATCAGTTGACATCAATTTAGCACGGAGACAGCGCAACGCCACCAAGAACTGCAGAGGAGCCCCTAGTGCTTGTCGTGACACAGTAAGTGCCAGGCTTTGATCGTCAAGTGCCAACGCTTGAGCTATAACGTGAGAGCTGCCCCACCAAATGGCGTATCGAACCAGTAGTTGTTTGGGAAGGACTGGTATGAAACGACCCGATGTTGGTGTGCGGCGTTCATTCTCAACCAGACTATTTACTCGATGCATGCGGTCCGTTTTAACTTTTTTTTTTAGCTCTACTAGAACACCTATTCAATAGTTGGCAGTCAGTTGAATTTCACAACTTTGGCTAGCTCAGCAACCTGACGATTAGCTGTCGCCTGTTACAGTTCAATTATTGTATACCATGCCAATCCGCTGTTTGTGTGTAGTCCGGATGGATGTATTAGATGCACTTCAGAAGTGCTTCCTACCTTCGACAATAGACAAGCCTCGTTCGGCCAAGGGCCCTGCGCCTGGCGGCGATGCGAAGCATGCCCCGAGGACAATATTTAGGAATTTGACTTCCGGCAAATCATTGAAACATTCTGCATAGCGCGGCTCAACGGAGGCCAAGGGCATCCAAAATAGATAGTCGAAAACAAGGCTCCTGCTATTAAATTTCAAATGGCGCGGTAGGTTATATGCCTCGAAAGATAGTTTGCTAACCGACAGAGCATATTGGTACCTTTCTGCAGACATATTGTTTTGGAACCTGGCTGTTCGTCTTGCCTAACGCGCAGTCAATAGATGTAGGGGACATTAGTCGACATATGACTCCTCTACAGCCCAAAACTATTCGCGTCAACTGCACATAAGAAGAGGTCGCAACTCGACCTTCCGTCACTCCGATTCCCAGCTTGTTAGCTAGCAAACTGAAGAGAGCACTCATAGATATGATCTCGATATGCAGGGCTCTCTGGATGAAGCCGCCGGATGGGTGATCGAAGAGGCCACCACAACACACTGTGTAAGTAGCTCGGCGCTAGAAGATATGGTCAAACACGGCTGGTTTTCTGAGATCGATTCAATCACCACTAATTTTGGCATGCCGAAAGTACTTCATTCCCACCCAAGCGACTACAACCCAAACCCAAGCCATGACACCCGTCAATATGATGAGCGCTGGATAATACCCGACTATTGGTAGAGTCTCGTCATTTTCAAGTTCAGGAGGTGCGTACGGTGTTTTGCCAACGTCCCACGCCCAAGTCCAAACATTCAAGCACGATCCCATGCCAATGACGAAGACGAACCAGGTCACAGTAAGGACAACCCACCCCCACCACTCAGTTTCTGAATAATCCCAATCAGAGTCTGGATGAGGGAGAGCTGTTGTAGAAATGCCACTGTAGGATAGTGGAGACTTCGTTTGTTGGAATGATCTGCGGCGGGGGGCAGTTGTTCGGTTCGTATAATAGGATTCAGATCCGGATGACACAGACAAGGTGGAGAGTGGAGGGCCTTGATTGTGGGAAATGTGTAGTACATCCTCCTCATCCGTTGTTGAGTTATAAGAGTTGCGTCGCTCTGTATCCTGTTCGCCGTGACCTCCGTTAGCTATTGCATTCACTCCTGACTGGTTGGAAGTCGCCGAGTTCTGAAGAGACATATCCGTTGATACCGTGTGAAGCGTGAAATCGGATGTCTTAAGGCCCAGGGCGTCTCGTTCAGTGGCGGTAGAGGACGACGATGCCCCAATCACTCCCGCTCCAAATGCAGCAGTATGCGAGGTGTCAATCTTCAATAGCTTAGTCTCCTTTTTCTCACGCTGTGCACCGCGACCGAGAAGGGCTGCCTTTCTAAGGGAGCCTCGTCGACGCCGAGTCTTTTGCAGCTGCGTCAAGGGAGCGAGTGACGACGGCGCGGTGGCCACTGAGTTTATTGTATCTTCTTCTTCGATGTCTAGGCGTGTCTTGATTTCTGCAGATGTTCTCATGAAAGGAAATTTTGATAGAATTCCGGAACCAGAAGGTGTCCGTCGATGGACTGATGTTGACTGTTGCTCGCCGTGTTGCACGGCGTCGCTCGTGTCATTGTCCATTGCGCGTAACGATGGCCACGCTGCTCTTTTGACAACGTTATTTTGCAGGACCAGGAAGTCTTTCGGGATTTTTATTTGAGAATAGCCGTACACACTCGTCGGCAGGACCGGTTTCCGCGCAGGTTCGCTGCTTTGACAGATTGATCGTGGTCGAAGACAAGACCAAGTGTCAGGTCGTTCAAGGCAGCGAGACAGCTGAAATGCGTTGCAGGGCGCTGCTAGAAAAAGGCAATATATCTAAGTACTCGACAAGACAAAAATGCGACATGGAACATTTGAACTTTACTGCGCCGCATCTCAATGGTCAAATGTTGGCCGGAGGCGCATGCCTTGTCTGCCGTGGCCCAACAGGTGGTGCCAAGCCCGCACAGACCATATACGGCCAGTACTACCAATACTTCGCTACTTGAGCCAAATAAGCCCCTTAGCGCAACTTACCGGCTTAGGCGCGAGTATTTAGTACTGAGTACAGAGCGCTTGCACACAGATAATAGTACTTCACATAAGTATCAGGTACCTACCTAGGTATATACTTTACTCAGCACAGGGGGAGGACTGGTCACATCCCCTGCATTAGCAATGCCGCGAAGCTTGATCTGTTCTGTGATAGTGCGCAAGTACATTTCCTCGTCACTCCACCGAACTTTCGTCGTGGCCTTTCGAGATCACGTCAATGACAGCCACAACGAGTAGCATAACCTCCCACGACGAACCGTTCCTCCCAACCTACCTAGGTAGCCTAACCTCGACTTTAATGCCAAGGATACTTGCAGTGTATCTGTAGAAAGAGCAAGCCAGACCGTCGACGTTTGCCAATAGCGTTACCGAAAGTACTCGCCATTATTACTCTAAAAGACATGCTGTTTTAACATTATAACCTCGTACAACAAGAGTATCCTGCGACAGAGTCAGATGAGATCAACACAACCGGAGCTTATGGAGTCGTTCAAAGCCGAGCATTACAACCCGTCGTCTACTCCTCGAATTGATCTTCCGCCTACGGTATTGGTAGACGATACTGATTCTGGGAGTGCGGGGGAACCTGACAATCAGACGCGGCAACTCGAATCACGCCTTCTCGCGCCTTCGGCGGCTATGACGTCTGAAACCCAACCAGTAGATATTACCTCTACTGGTGTTCCCCATAACCCATTCAATTTCCAAACTCAGGTGATATCTACGTCGCCTGTTAAATCGGTATCCCGCGCCTCCTGTGCCCCCATTCTACTTTGCAAAGTAGTAATATTGTTTTTGAAATGATGACTAACTCTGAAAATCGGTGCAGAATATTGGCCAGCGTCGTGGCCACAGGTATAAGCATAGCAGTATCTCAGCACAACATCAAATATTCCAAGAACCGCCGCCGAGACCGCCTCCTGTTCTCCCAGCTTCGTTACCCATACCGACACTAGTAGAAGCATGGAAGAGTATGCACAAAGAACAACGCACGAGACTTTATTGGAGCATGTGCCATCTGGCAGTCGCCACCTTTATCTTCTTCAGATCTGAAGGATCGCTTTCTGCAATGGCTTTATCTCACTTGGTCTTCTTTGACGCTGGCAGCGCTGCTGTATGTGTTGCGGTGGAAGTATTAGGAAATTTTGAAGTTTGGCGACGCAGTAGCATTCGCCATCCCTTTGGGCTAGAGAGAGTCGAAGTACTCGCTGGATTCGCCATGTCCATATTCCTCCTCTTTGGAGGGTTTGATCTCGTCTCGCACAATCTGAAGCATTTCCTGGAGACTTTGGGAAATCACGAGGCACACCACGAGCATGGCCATGACCGCATATCTGCAACTTCTATTGATCTTGTAGCGGCCGTTGCTATCATCAGCACACTAGTCTCTGCATATGGGCTGAAAAACCACTCGCGCATTGCAAAGGTCATGAGGGTCTCGTACTTGGCCGCACTTCCAAGCGTTCTGTCCAACCCGTTTCACTTTCTGACGCTCCTTTTTTCCATCATTGTTGCGCTTCTGCCGCTACTCTCGATTTATCTCTATACTTGGTTGGATAGACTGATCTGCGCCGCCATTGCGGTTGCCATGTTCGGCCTTGGCATGCGAGTGGTAATTGCCCAAGGCCTGATGTTGTTGATGTCGTATGGTGGAACCAACGGCAACTCTGGAGTCACGGCCGTGTTGAGGGAAATTGAGTCAGACACTACGATAACCCGAGTTGAGGAGTCCCAATTCTGGCAGGTTCACTACGGTCTTTGCATGGCTAATCTAAAGGTGAGCGTTGTGAGGGGTTGCGATGAGGTAGCAGTTAGCAAGTTGCGGAACCGAGTATCATCATTGATCCAAAACAGGCTTGGAGAAGGATACGGCGTGGGCGGGAATACACGATGGGAGGTTACGTTGCAAATTCACCCTGATGCAAGCTCTTCAGTAGTCCTGTAACTATCCGATTAGATCCCTTGCGATTGCTTTTAGTATGTTATGAATTTAAAAGGCGACGCGACATAATAGCGTCAAGCTAGTAGTAGCTATTTCCCTTTTTCATTTCTACCGCGTTGCCTAGATGACACATCACGACTCGGAACCGAAACACTGGGCACCGATGAATGTAGCTTCGATGTACATAGTATATGAGAAGGGTATCCTTGCTTCCGGAGGCCGACATTGTGCCATCTGCATGTAGTCTACAAACCGTGTATATAAGTAACAAGACAGAAAGAAAAAAGATAATAGAGAGAGAGAGCCTGCCGCCCAGAAAATGATTACCGGCGGATGCCAAAAACTCATAGAAGACAGTAATGGATGGAGATAAAACTCGTTGCATTTCGCATACAACTCAGAATTCCCGAAGCCCGTATTCCTAGTGCCACCTACCATGGTTGCATGATCCGTGGCTTGACACAATTAAAACAGACCCCATCTACCACGCTGCCTCTGTCCGCCATGTCTTCGTCCGTCAGTCAATCGTTCACGTTCTCTGCCCTCTAGTTGCTTTAAGCTGTCCATTTTCTCAAGAACAAGCTCCAAAAGCTCTTTTCTGCGAATAACCTCCAGGTGGCGCCGAATCTTGGGGTCCTCCTTGGCAAATCTTTCAACTTCTTCTTCGGTTAGATGGCGACCGAGACGAAGGTCTAGCTCTCGAGGGAAGTTATAGTAAAATTCAGAGAGCAATTCTACATTGATGAAAAGCACAGCTGTAGAAGCTAGTTTTGATGCTGCAGAATCCAAGAACACCTCAGGGCAATAGTACTTGTTCTTGACAGATGCGCATTGTTTGGACTTGACAGCCATGAGTCGCATCTTGATGATGTCTGCACGATCACGAAGGAATACCGCCTCACGCCCTGTTTCCGATTAGACTTCAAGTCTACAATTGTCGCAGGTGCTTTGGGATAGAGCGATGAAGAGGAGCAACATACCTTTGGCGAGCAGTGCAGCGCTAAAACCGCCGGCGCCGCTTCGACCATCGCCTTCTACGACAATATCGCCTTTCCTGGCCTTATCAACAAAATTCATCACTTCCTTTAACTTTCTTCGACCGCCAATGGATGACTCAAGTCCGCCCAAGGCAGCTTCACAGTCTTGTAGCTCCTTCTTCAACACGTCTCCTACGTGTTGCCGGCCCTGGGCCCATTCGCGTTCCTCGATGTCAATCTCAAATTTGAACGGCTTAATACAATTTTCTACTTGATCGCTGGTACTGTAGAACCTTTCGTTGAGAATGGTTGATGCTGCCTCTAATATGGCTTGGCGAGCGAAAGGATGTGTTGCAAAATTAGAATTATTGAGTAGCTGGTCAACGTGGTCCTGCAAAGAGGAGGATACTACCGTCGTGGCGAGACGCCCAACACCGAGCTTGGTGAGTGCTGAGGCTGATGCATCAAGCTGCCGGTGCCAGTACAGCGAGGAAGCTTCCGCTTTCGGAAGATCTGAGATATGGTCAGGCTCTACTTGAGCCTGAGACAGATCTGTGATAGGTTTGTTCCAGTATCTGGCTGCTAAAAGATCCAAGACTTTCTGGTCAAGTTCGCTTTTTAGCAGTTCGCGCATTTGCGGCCGACCGAACTCTTCTGTAAACTGCTTGAAAGAGTGCTTGAAAGCGTCTAAACTCTCAGCGAGATACGACTCTGCGGATAGCGGCCGATCGTTGTATTGTACTTTAAATTCGTATGTCGCCTCTTCAAGCTCCTGCCGGATAGCGTCACTCGTGCTTTGTAAGCTGGATGACATGGTTTGCTCAAGGACATGCATCAACTTTTTGCGTAATGTTATGGTGCCGACATTGACACCGGCATCCGGGCCAAACTCAAGGGGGTGAGATGAAAAGTAGCTGTTCTCGTGTTTGGCTATCGATGACATTAAATTGGCTGGACCCATCTTGAACAATCCTTGGGAAGACGGTGCTTTGGAGACGACCCCAACGTAGCCTAGTCGAAGTGGGTATTGTCTGTCATTTAGAATGGCGGCGCCGCGAGTAGGGTCAACTAGGTCCATCTTGGTGACGACGCCAATAGTTCGCTCGCCTCTTGGGTCTACTCGGCGAGATGCCCTCAAGGCGGTTGAATTGGCGAGATCCACATCGGCTGCTGAGATGGCTAGAATCACATTTGGCGGCTGAATGTATTTATCACATAGTTCCGAGATCTTCTGCTTCAATTGAAGTGGTTGGTTTTGCCCAACAACTTGGATGTAACCAGGTAAGTCAATCAGAGACAAGTCGGGGACGTTGGGCGAATAGATAGTAAGATGGATAGGATCATCAGACACACAGTCGGCGTCTGATACTGCCATGTTGAGTTCCGTCAGCGTTCTTTGGATGGATGAAAAATCTGAAATACGTCTTAAACCGAGGTCCGGGAACTCTCCGTACTCGTCCTCTGACGCAGGCGTGTTCACTAGCGTGAGCTCGATTGGTCTGCGAGTAACCATATTCGAGCCCTTTGGAAGAAATTCGTGTCCAACAATCGCCTCCAGAACAGAGCTCTTCCCCGACGACTGTGAACCGATGACGACGATGGATGGAAGTGTCAACGAGCTGGACTGCCCAACTTTTTGCAGCATACTTCTGATCTCGATCATCTTCTTCGTGAGAACCATCATCTGGTCATCTCTCGCAACCTCCTCTGAATCTCGAGCATCGTTTTCTGAAGTCTTCTCGTAGCCATAGGCTGCCGCAGACGCAGCAGCAGCCACCCCAGTACCTGTTCTGCTCTGTTTTGGCCCGCCCCCGCCACCCGCTCCGCCGTTGCCTCCGGTGCCGATATCTTCATGGATTCTGAGCATCCGTTTTAACCATTCTGGCGTCTCGACCTGCTCCTTCGTGTTTTCCCAGCCTTGCCGAGTTTGAGCAGCAACATCCTTCGCGGTGTCGAATAAGCTTGTCGCCGTCGACGTTACGGTATCTTTTGTCGTATTGAAAAGCTCGATAGCATAAGTGCTGGCCTCTGCAAAGAGTTAGAATAGTCTCGAGAATAAAGCTAAAAATGCCGACGATGTATTATAGCGACATACGATTTGCTTGATATTGAACCCAAGCAAAAGCACCGATTGCCAAGCCACCAAACATTGCTGGTATTCTAGCGAACTTGACAACTAGCTTAGGTAAGAAACGGGCAAACGAGGCATTCCTAGCAATGACAGCATTATGAAACGAGTTGCCACCAAACCACATGCGCTTTCTGGTCGCTCGGATGGATGAGTCTGCTCGCAACAGCCCCCCGTTAGGGAATCGGTGTAGTTGTCGGTTGACACTGACGAATGCACGTCGCGTCACAGGCCGCAAGCCCGCAGCAAGAACCCGTGAACTCATTGTAATGAGAGTAGTTTGTTGAGAGCAAATATGCAGTTGTGCATACGGCCCTGAACGGGACCTTGAAGCCAGAAGGCCGATTCGAGTCTGGAGGAAAGCGTTCAAGAATTAGTAATGTAAGTTGCGAATTCAATATCTGCCAAGAGTTAGGATTAGCCATAGTGCCATGGGAGTTCTGGCTCCTGAGGTCACAACAACACGCGCCACCAATCATCCCACTAAAGTCCTGGAACAAAAGAGTGGAGCACAAAGCCACGAGCCACCCCACTATTTTCGTTATCAGCACGTGACCGATCTTTATCAGCAACTTTTGCTTCAAAATTTCTGGCTTCGACAGCGCGGGTTGACAAGGCCTATCTGCTGTTTATTTTCATTCATTGGTCGTCCGCCATTATGGCGATTCAGAAGAAGCACGGCAAGGGCCGTCTTGACAAGTGGTATAAGCTTGCCAAGGAGAAAGGATATCGTGCCCGAGCGGCTTTCAAACTTATTCAGTTGAACAAGAAGTATGGATTCTTGGAGAAGAGCAAGGTCCTTCTGGATCTTTGCGCTGCACCCGGCGTAAGTTTTCTAAATTACTCTCAATCGAGACCTGCTAGCTGACTCTCGCCACTAGTCGTGGTGTCAAGTTGCTGCTGAGGTAATGCCGATGAATAGCTTGATAGTTGGTGTCGACCTTGCACCAATCAAGCCAATACCCAGAGTCATAACTTTCCAGAGCGATATTACGACCGAGAATTGTCGTGCTACTATTCGACAACATCTGAAAACATGGAAAGCAGACACTGTATTGCACGATGGTGCACCGAATGTCGGTACGGCATGGGCTCAGGACTCGTTTAACCAAGCAGAGCTTGCTTTGCAGTCTATGAAGTTGGCGACCGAGTTTCTAGTTGAAGGTGGCACATTTGTCACCAAGGTTTTCCGATCTAAGGACTATAACCCATTGTTATGGGTGCTCAACCAGCTGTTTACGAAAGTCGAAGCCACGAAGCCGCCTTCCTCTCGAAATGTTTCTGCCGAAATTTTCGTCGTTTGCAGAGGATTTAAAGCTCCCAAGCGCATCGACCCCCGGTTTCTCGACCCTCGCTATGTTTTCGCGGAGCTTACCGGAGCGACGCCAAACAACGAGGCCAAAGTATATAATCCTGAAGTCAAGAAGAGAAAACGAGAAGGCTATGACGAAGGCGATTATATCCTGTATAAGGAAGTTCCTGCTAGCGAATTCATTCAAACCACTGATCCAATCGCTATTCTCGGGTCTTGTAATAAGCTTACATTTTCGCAGCCGCGCGGTGGCGATATAGCCTTGGCCGCATTGGACAAACTCCCCGAAACTACTGAAGAGATCAGACAGTGTTGCCAAGACCTGAAAGTTCTGGGCCGGAAAGACTTCAAACTACTCTTGAAGTGGAGGCTTAAGGCGAGGGGTATCTTCGGATTTTCAACAAAGGAGAAGGACCAGGAGGAAGCTGCGATCGGGGAGGAGGTGGTTGAGGTCGAATCAATGGACGAGGAACTTCGCCTCCAGGAAGAATTGCAAAGTATGAAGGATAAAGAGAACTCAAAGAAGAAACGAGAACGACGCAAAGAAAATGAGAAAAAACAACGCGAGATTGTCCGTATGCAGCTCAACATGGTTGCTCCAATGGACATTGGTATGGAGGAATCCGGACCAATTGGAGAGGGTGCCATGTTTTCTTTGAAGTCTGCGGATAAGTCAGGCGCATTACGCAGATTGAATCGTGGCAAGATGGTAGTCGTTCCAGGTCAAACTCCGGTAGCAGCCCAGAACGTTGCTGAAGAATCTGATGGAGGTGAAAACGAAAACGACGATGAGGAAGATTTCCTGGAGCGAGAACTTGATTCCATGTACGAAAACTATCGTGAGCGGAAGGCTGAAGCCGACGCCAAATATCGTGCCAAAAAAGCCAGAGAAGAACGTCCCGATGACGAATGGGAGGGTCTGTCCGCGGACGAGGATGCAGAGAAATCAGATTCAAGTGAGCTTGAGGAGGAGGAGGATGACTCTTCAGACGACGAGGAAGACGAACCAGCAAGAAGCCTTTTGACGGATCTCGATGACAGCGCACCATCATCAGACGGGTTATCTAAGCGAGCCGCAGCGTTCTTCAGTCAGGACATTTTCAAAGACTTCACTACCAGCGAGAAGGATGTTGACATAATTGGCAACAATTTTGCCGAGAAACTTGCTGTGAACGGCCAATCTTCCAAGAATAAACAGCTGAATGGAGCACATGCTAGTAGCAAGAAAGCAGTGCAATCTCAGACCCAGACCAACCAAACTCACTCGCAGGAACATAATGACGACGAGGATAATGATTTTGAGGTTGTCAAAAGCAATAATGCTGATGACTGGGAGGAAGACAAGCGCCTTCCAGATGGGAAACTTGGTATGATGAATAACCCCAATTTTGCACATTCAAACATAATAGCTGACACTTTTGCCTTAGATATCGACATAATCACTGCCGAAGCAATGACACTAGCTCATCAACTTGCTTCTGGTCAGAAGACGAGTCATGACGCAATTGATGACGGCTTCAATAAGCATGCATTCCGCGACAGGGAGGGATTGCCAGAGTGGTTCATTGATGATGAAGGCAAACACGATAAACCGCACAAGCCCATTACCAAAGCAGCTGCAAATGCCATCAAGGAGAAGCTTCGGGCCTTCAATGCACGACCGATCAAGAAGGTTCGGGAAGCAAAGGCAAGAAAGAAGCTTAAGGCTGCTCAAAAGCTGGAGAAGCTTAAAAAGAAGTCCGACATGCTCGCCAATGATGAAGGAATGACGGAAAAAGAAAAGGCGGAGAGTATAGCCAAATTGTTGAGCAAAGCTGCTCGCAAGAAGCCTACACAACCGGCCAAGCTGGTGGTCGCCCGCGGCTTGAATAGGGGAGTTCAGGGCAGACCAAAGGGTGTCAGGGGGCGCTATCGCATGGTTGATCCTAGGATGAAGAAAGAGTTGAGAGCACAAAAGAGGATTTCTCAGAAGAAGAAAAGGTGAAAAGGGGGACGGAATGGTTAGGAATGTGCATCTTGCATAATCAGCGAATCTATGTTAAGTCTTTGCTGCTCAGTCCATGTCCTTTGGTTTACGAAGTATACCGTTTGCCAGGGTCTGAACAAGAGCGACCATGGGGTAGGTCGGTCCACTGAACTCCATGTCGTACCTTTCAAGACTCCCACGTTAGAAAAGCTAATCATGAGGTCGTGCATGTATAACGCTGGAACTTTTGAACTTTTGACTGACCAGTAATTTATGGCAACGACAAACCCTTCTCCACCCGGTATACTAGATTGACTGACTTTGTGATACCTTGTGATTGACAAAACCCTTAGTTCCTGCAGCCAAAAATAAGGCGGAAGACTCACCACATAGCTGGTAGATACAACATGTCTCCGGGGTTAAGAGTAACTCGCATAGGCTGTGCAAACCTAGAGAAGGCAGTAGAATTTGTCTGCGGATCGTCTGGGTCCCAAGTCACAAAAGGGACGAGGTCAGCCCCTTCATCAACGCGAATAGAGAGGCCCGTCTCGTCGCGCACATAGGTAGCCGGAGTAAGCAAAGCCTCATTCATGCAAGGGTGACAGATTGGCGGTAACAGGACGAAGTGTTTCCTGCCAATTACTTGCACAAATATGTTCTCAAAGTTATCTTTATGAGTTGCTGTTACAGACCGGGAGTTTCCTATCCACAAATTTACTGCGTCAGGGCTCCTCTGAAGTGCGATGCGGGCGAATGGAATGTCTTTCTGGGCGTCTGGGAACAAGCAAGAGTACTCGTCTCTAAAATTGTCATTTTCTGATAACCCTCACACATCAGCCGACGATCATGGGACGATGTTGTACTACCTCCTGCCTGGAAGGGCAGGATAGCTGGCAGAATAGGAAGACAGAGAGACTGACGTGTTTGTGCATATCGCACCTCTGAATCCTCCGGGAAAGTTTTGTCCGTTTCCTGCTGCATAAGGTATGTAAGGAAATCATCAAACATTTGAGATTCCTCGTGAGGCTTTGCTAGAACGGTCACTCCATCTTTTGGCGAATACGTAGGCGCATCGGCATTGCTGGAAGCTTGGTTAGGACGAACCCCATTCCGTTTATAGTGTAAAAAGTGTGAGCATTTGGCATGGATTCCATGGCCATTCGCAAAGAGCCAGCTGGAGAGAAGAATAAGCAACAAAAGAGGGCTATACGAACCCGTGAGGGGTAACGGCAACATTGACAGTCTGCCCAGCCAGGGCTGATCTGAGGTATGTCGAGCTCCATTGCCTTGTAGCTTTCCACGATGATGCCGCTCCCCGTATCACGAAAGGCGAATTTCTAGAGACAAAACGCATAAACTCCAAGGGACTGGGTTCCGAATCAAGCTCCTCGATGGTGGAACTGTTGAGTTCGTTGAATGTCGAAATCACATCTCTGAGCGCAGGCTCAATTTGTGAGGTCATGATGCGCTCTAGTGTGCCGCGTTATGATGAATCTGAACTTGACAATGTACAAGAAGATGCAATTCCTAGTCGCGACTTCGCACAGACATTTATCGCAGCCTACAGCTTGATAAAGTACTTACTTATAATACAGGATGGTAGTACTATAATATCGTGGTCGTGTTTTCGTGGGATCCATTGTTCAAGCTTGCCCAGTGGGGGCTGGGGGCTGGGCTGCCCGGTACCCTGGTGGTTTAGAAGTACTACCAGCTTCGTGCCCTGGTACATTTTTGGGTACATGTACATTGTAGTTACCAGACGTGACTTCAGTGTTGTATCAACTGATAACACTCGATGTCGCTTAAAGTTCTTTCTGCCCGCTGCCTCCAAGCCAGGCGTTCATCAATGCCTGGCTGTGGTACATGTAGCATCCGTGTCTGGTTGCTGTACCACTCCGTAGTTCCAGGTCCCGCAGCTGGCACCAAACGCTTCAGGTTGGTTGCATTGGAGCTGGAGGCAGCGCTCGAGTGGACTTGACGCTTTCGGTTTAGATACCACATGGACTCTGGGTTGAAATCTGGTCGCTGCAACTGGGAGCCCTCCCTTGGGGGTGTGCAGTTGCATCTGACCTTTAGACACATTATCGACGATCCGCGAGAAACCCTCAAGTGCTATTATTTCTTCCTCCGCCTCCAGCGAGTCATGTATCACCTACTTACCCAGGTCAACCGTCAGCCAAGCACTACCTAAGGTACCTCTAAGTACTTAGGCAGGTACGGTGACATTTGAACCCCCGTTGACCCCTCCCCTGCTGACTTCTTTCAACCTTCGGGTTGTCAGCGCTGTGCTGTACCTGCATGCCTCCAGGTCGAGCCCAAGTGCATTGCCCTTGTCAGTTTCAGACGAACCAGGGCTGACTGACAGCATGTGTAAAATACTACCGCGACTACGTCAGAATAAGGCGTAAGGGCTTCGTCCTCCTATTAACCGAGACTTATGACAGCGCAGTACTCCGTATGCGACTGTTTAGTCCTGGGTTTTCACAATCCATCTACATCAGAAACGACGGCACGTCAATGCCGCTGTCGCGTGCCGCATGCCAGCCTCAAATCCAAGTCAACACGCATACTTAAGTAAGCTGCTGCCCGCATTGCCCAACACGGCGAGAAGCTCCAATCTTCGCACACCCGTATCAAACCCACAATACTAATCCATACACAAACCAGGCACCTTCAGTTAATGCATTACCATTGGAATCTTTGAATATCCATCAAGTGCTTTGTTTTCAGCTATATGTACTAATACCGGCCTTGGCGCATCAACTGCAATTGCAGAACCTATCGCATGTTCCACATTGCGCCATGATCTGGTACTTTCTCTATCCATTACGAGGGTATGTTCCAACCAACCACCAACCATGTTCGTGGTTGCTGCCCATCAGTGTATCCACGCTTTGATCAACTCGTTAACAAGGCTTCTAGGACCACGGAACCTCCGGACCTCGCACCATCACATCCCCTCCGCCGTGGCTTCGCTCGATATGGCCGATATGTCGCCGGCCATGTCGTCACTGCTGTCTTCATCTCGGCAACTGTAGCCACGATCCTCATCTACCCCATCCCATACCTATTTACTAGCGATTTTGTTAATGGCGCCTCATATTTGCCTCATCATGCTTGGACTGTGGCCCAACCGCTCACATATGACGCCGCGGTAGAACCAGACATAATCATGAGGTCTATCTGGGTTCATTCTAGCTACATGGAAGCTCTCAATGCTGACTTGCTCGCATCAGCGTTGGAACTTCAGAACGAACTGCTAGGTGAGACCGAAAATTTTAGTCCCCGAGACGCGCCAGACAATCTGGCCAAGCACCAAGACGACGACCAACTCTCCCTGGCTCAGCGTGACGCCTTGCACATTTCGAACGGCCTCACCAACCAGTCGTGGTTTTTTCATTCGCCATTGCTGTACTGGCATAGCTCCCGAGACAGGTTGCTGGCAGACCATGACATCCTTTCCACCATCAACGACAGGAAAAACCAGTCCAACTTCTCCAATACGACGCTACGTCACTCGGTTGTTTTCAGCGGCAAGCGTTTTGAAGATCGTCGACTAGTTGCTGCTGATGCTATTGTTATTACCCTTCTTTGCTTGGGGGACTCCCCTGTTGGCCAAGAATGGGAAACGAAGGCTCTATCCTTGCCCGAGAAAGTTTCTGACAAGTTTGACGTCTATCCATCTGATGGAAGGTACGCGAGGAGTCAGTTGTACGAATTCCAATTTCGGCCCATGTCGCCACAAGATATCCTTAGCCTGGCGTTTGCGTACGGTTTTGCTGTGCTATATTTTCTCATGAGCCTCTCAAAGCTGCGAGCAGTCAAATCGAAAATTGGACTCATTGTCACGATTATTACCCAAGTAGCCCTCTCTATCATGTCGAGCTTCACGGTTTGCGCTATATTCAATTTCGACTTGTCCCGCATCCCACAGGCGGCATATCCGCTCGTTGTGCTGTCTATGAGTTTGGAGAACATCTTTCGACTCATCAATGCGGTCATCCTAACTCCGTCGGAGGACAGCACCAGTAACAGAATTGGCCACGCATTTGGCCAAACTGCTCATACTGCTCTGGCAAGCTCGCTGCAGAATGTCTTGATTCTCTTTGGCCTATCGCGTGTAGTTTCACCAGGGGTATCGGCGTTTTGTATCTTTGCCGCTGTCGCAATCGTTTTTGATTTCTTTTATCTTTCTACCTTCTTCTTGTCTGTCCTCAGTGTTGACGTAAGACGAATGGAGTTAGGTGATGCTCTTGCAAAGGCTGCTTTGCGACAAAGTAGACGCAAATACCAAGGCAACGGCCGTGGCCCTTTGGCCGATGGATTCTTTCAAGGAAAAATTGCTTGGTCAACCCGGATCGCGGGGACCGTGATCATGATCGGATTCGTTATTATTGCTCAGTGGCATTTCTTTGGCGATGACAACATGTTCCGCAAACTTTTGCGACTTTATAGAGGCACTGATAGTAACCTTCTCCGAACACCAGATTTGTCAGTGCTGAAAGGCCTACATCAGGCTAGAAGCCATACCTCATGGTTGAGGAATCAAGACCATGAGACAGCCAAGGAAATTATTCGGCTGGTCAAACCTGAAGCCTACAGCTACGTGGCTAGAGTTTTTGAGCCCCTTGTTTTTGTTAAGCGAGACTCAGATCGAACACCTCACAGTAAAGAACCTACACTGTTACCCGCTGCATACGATTTTATTCATCACCAGCTATTGCGCTTTATTGTCATAGTTGTTGTCATCGTTGCAGCTCTTCGATTGCTCATGAACTATCTTTTATGGGGTGAGGATGCTGAGCTGGCGAATGGCGGGGAGCAGGATGACACTCCTTTAGTCTCGATAAAGTCTATGGGAGGTGGCCATGTTCTTGACGTCGCTTTACTGAGCAAGTCCAAAGCAGGGCATATCGTATCCGTAGGCCTTGACAGAGTCATCCGAGTTTGGAACATTCGACGGGGAAGTAGTTACGTTATTGCGGATGGAAATGATGCCGAGCTGTGCCCGTTCCCCATATTGGGCATGTCGATTGACGGTAACTCGACTTGGCTGGCGTTATTATCGACATCCAGAGTATCATTCTGGAATCTGGCGGAACAAAGATGGGGTGGGTGTATGCCCTTGGAAAGCTGTTCGCATCGGCCAGCCGCAATGTTTTTCGACTCTACTCCTGATACCGACAAGCCAACCATCCAACTAGTGCACCACAACGGCACAATGGTCCAAGTGACCGCTGGGACGCAGATTCCTGAAAGCGGAATTTCTATCTGCCCTGAACCCCTGGCACTTGCTCGTTCCCTCACCAAGAAGTGTGAGTTGAGCTTTGACCTTTGACTCCTTTTAGTATTTAAAACATTTAGACTAATTATTATTGGTAAATAGGCGATTCTGGAGTGATAACATTCATTGTCATGGTCTCCAAAAAAGGACATGTCTACATTGGCAACCGACAAGAGTCATCATGGACCACCCAGCTTTTGGATTTGAAAATCTCAGATGCTGGTGCAATCTCCCAAATCGTGCCATTGTCTCCTCTCGGCGTGTTCGCACTGGCAGCAAGCGATTGCGTCTACCTCGTAGATGCCGAAGTGAGAGAGGTGTTGCGAACCCTCCTCACCGAGAGAATGATCTCTAGATCCCTTCAATGCACCTATTCGGGTCATGCGTCCAAGCCGGGCATGTTGGGATTAGCATCTCTGACATTGTGCTATGTTAAAAGCGAGACGGGCGACTGCGTGTTGCAGGCCTATGTTCCCGCAGATGACTGCGAGGTAATTGATCTTCGGAGTCCCGATAGCAAGATGAATGGTGATGAGTGCAGTTTCGAGTCAGCAAAGGAAGTGAAAAAACGGGTTAAGAATCCGGGAACGTGGCATTTGCTCTCGGATGGTAGTGTAGTTGGCATACGGCGAGCGATCCAAACGTACAACAAGACCAGCAACATGAACTCAACATTGCGACGAAGGCGCGCGACCGGGCAAAACAATCAGTATTCATTTGCAAACTGGGAAGTATGGGCAACTTCACCTTGCGATAAACCAGACCTGGAAGAATGCCGACCTCTCTTCGAACTAGGAGATGAGTCTAGTCATTTGGTGGTGTCAGATTTAGGACCGAAAGTCTCTGTAGGTATTCGATCTGTTGCGTTTACATTTGGCAATGTTATCAAGCTCGTGACGGCTGGTGCTCTAGAACATTACGATGTTGATCCCGAGAATAACAGCTACGACGCGTTGATGAATACGTCAAGTCGGCGCCGCAAACCAGGACAAGCAGCAAGGATAAGAGCATCGAGTTGAAGGTCGCGCACTGGTGGAGAGTCGTTGACCTAAAAGGCCTTATCTTATTTTGGCCACCACCGCCTTGTATTATATTACAACTGTCTACTCCGGCGAGGCAGCATGGTCGAAAGGGAGAGGGGCCACGGCTGTCGTTAGCATAAATTTAATACTTCAACC